GGTTCCCCTTTTATTTTCAAGTGTCTGTAGCAATGTTCTATCCATCGATTTTGGCTATTACTTTTGAGTATCTTTTTGCAATGTTAGTAAATTTGTGACACATGCAGTTTCGGAAAAATGGTTGCTTGCTTTCGCTATGCGTCAATTGATGTTCACTCAGTGTGCCTTCCTCCTGCAAAGCTGGATTTCAACTATGAGAAAAATCAGGACTGGATACAACAAGAAGTGAACGAGGTGTGAAGAATGTGATTTGGACTTTTGAGTGTGGTATAAAGTCGCATCTGATCTCACCGTGTACTTGTTTTCATGGAATAATTTAAGCAGGTTGTTAGTCGAGCTGAACGTTTGTTTTCTGAGGTTCTGAATGCAATCCGTCTTTTGGTGGAGAAAAGATCTGTTGGTCAATTTAACAGCAGCGTTAAAGCACCTGAAGCAAGAGGTCAGATTGCTGTTTTGGAAGGGATGCTGCAGAAGGAGAAAGAAGAATTTGAAGTAAAGTCTTCACTTCTGAATATTAATTATCTTTAGCTTCTGCAAAGTCTTCAGAAGTAAACTGCATAACTATGGTCCTGGTTATGTTACAAAGCACTTTCTCTCCTTCCCTCCACACCTCTGATTGTGTTTGTTTGTTGGGTGTTGGTGGAAGTAATAATTAAGTATGAGTTCCCGTTTGTTCTCTTTCACTCTAGTTATCTGCAACCCATGTACAAATATGTCTTTTTGTGATTCAGTAGTTCTGCTTTTATCACCTTGCGCTCGGGAGACAGAAAATGGTGGAATTGTCTTCAGTTGCCCATGTTGCAGATTCTATTAACGTTTGCTTTGATGCATCAGAAATTAACTTGCTTGCTGTCATTATCAACCTTTTGCATTGATACTTAACTTTCATGTGTATCATGATACTTAACTTTCAATTGTATCATGATTCTAACATCATGTAAACTAATTGACTGGAATTCTTAATTGTCTGACTTATGTTAGGGATTTAAAGCAATGATTTTGTAAAACAATTGTTAATTTGCTCTTTGTGGGTTTTCCTGGGTATTCTGTATTAGCAGGAATCTCTCCAGAAAATTCTGACCAAGGAGGCGAAAAAGGTGCAGCCAGTGGTTGATATTTTCGAGATTAATCGGTTGCGAAGACAACTCATTTTCCAGTCTTATATGTGGGATCACCGACTTGTATATGCAGCCAGCTTAGAATGCGAGGCTCATTGCGTTACAGGAGAGAAACCCCTGGTCGGTAATGATAAGTACGCTGATCCAGATAGGACCAGTGATTATTTGAATGTCTCTGGTTCTGTTTCTGCGACTAGAGTACTTGATGCAAAATCTAATGATGGAGCAAGTTTTGGCCAAAAGAATCATGTGGATGCAGATCATCAAGGATCTGAGGTTCTCTTTGATTCTAGTTGTGCAATTGAAAAACCATCAGATCTTCCTGTTGGAACAGAAAGCTTCTATGGATTGAACTCTGCGGAATCCAATATAGAGGGTTCCAGAGCCCTTTCTGACGGGCAGTCCCCGATCATGGATAATTTGTCAGATACTCTTGAGGCAGCTTGGACTGGTGAAACTACTTCCGCTGTCGGAGTGCTGAAGGATGGTACTTGCAGATCTTCCGAACCACTTACTGCAGATTCTTCAACAACTAGATTAGCAGAAAAAGTGGACGTTGAAGACCCTGGTGAGGAACATGGCGGAGCTAAGGCATCTGGATTTCCTCCTTCTTTATCCTCTAAAAGCTCTGAAAATGTGGAAGACGCCGGGGGATGGTTAGGTATGTCTTTTATTAGCTTCTACCGGTCACTGAACAAGAACTTCTTACCAAGTGCTCAGAAGTTGGATACGCTTGGCGAGTACAGCCCTGTCTACATTTCATCATTTAGAGAGTCAGAGGCCCAAGGCGGAGCCAGGTTGCTCCTACCTGTTGGGGTTAATGATACCATTATACCAGTGTACGATGTCGAGCCCACTAGTATTATATCTTACGCACTAGTTTCACAGGATTATATTGCACAACTAGCTGATGAGCTAGAGAAATCAAAGGATTCTAGTTTGGACTCTAACCTTCCGCTGCAGTCCCTAGAATCTGGAAGTCTGCAGTCCCTTCAATCTATGGATGAAATGGTATTGGAATCCTACAGAAGTCTAGGATCTGCTGATGAGAGTATCTTGTCCTCGTCCAGTAGTCATAGCTCTTCGGTTTTGGATCCACTCTCATACACAAAGGCAATGCATGCGAGAGTCTCCTTTTCGGATGATGGACCACTTGGGAAAGTGAAGTACACAGTGACTTGTTATTATGCGAAGCGCTTTGAAGCTTTGAGGAGGATTTGTTGCCCATCTGAGATGGATTTTATAAGATCTCTTAGTCGCTGTAAGAAGTGGGGAGCCCAAGGAGGAAAGAGCAATGTTTTCTTTGCTAAAACCTTGGATGATCGATTCATTATCAAGCAAGTGACCAAGACAGAGCTGGAATCATTTATAAAGTTTGCTCCTGCATATTTTAAATATCTTTCTGAATCTATAAACTCAAGGAGTCCTACTTGCCTGGCAAAAATTCTGGGGATCTATCAGGTATTTTAAATACTCTTGATTACATTTGTTGTGAATCTAGTAGTTCTTAAGGGGCAAATATGAGTCTTGCATTTGGAAGGTGCGCTTAATGTAGTTTTTTCCTGGTTTTATGGTTTGACTTGAATATTTGAGCCACTACTTGGATTCTGAATTACTATTTACTTTCACCTAAAGTTTTCAATAGGATTGATCTGGTAAGGCATGATGCATTTTCACTGGTGTCTTTGGGTATGTGAGATACCTTTATTTTTGGCTCTGTGCCTTTAGAAAGGAGTATCATGGTCTGTATGAATACGTAGTCATCTTTACTGTCGGCCAAGTCTTTCGAGTTATAGTTGTTATGGTTCAATAGCCTTGTGGTGAATTGACCTCAAAACATGGGGTGCATATTTATCTTCTATGAAGACTAACTTTGATGTGTAATTAGCGTCTAAAATTATAAGTTTCTTGATTATTCCTCATTTCATATTCTCGGGAATTTTCATAAGACAAATATCATCAACTATGATTATAAGTATCTGGTCGTTTTGCATAATTATGCCTATTGTTTATGTGAAGGTGACATCTAAGCATCTTAAAGGAGGGAAGGAATCTAAAATGGATGTGCTAGTTATGGAGAACCTTCTATTTGGGAGGAATCTGACCCGGCTTTATGACCTTAAAGGATCTTCCAGGTCTCGTTACAATCCCGACTCAAGTGGAAGCAATAAGGTCTTGCTGGATCAGAACTTGATCGAGTCAATGCCAACTTCGCCTATTTTTGTTGGAAACAAAGCCAAGAGACTTTTGGAACGAGCTGTCTGGAATGACACTGCTTTTCTTGCAGTAAGTAAATGAATCTGTTCATTTCAATGAATTTAGTCACTCTTCTACACTCCATAATAAGAACTCAGACGTCTTTCATAACACAATCTTTCATTTTCCTCTTACCTAACAAGCTATTATATATGTTGCCTAGTACTATAAACATGTGAGTATAATTTAGCAGAGTTCTTTTTGGTTTTGGACTAATTTAGTAGTTATTCTTGCAGTCAGTTGATGTGATGGATTACTCACTATTAGTCGGGATTGACGAAGAGAAGCATGAACTTGTTCTTGGGATTATTGACTTCATGAGGCAGTATACATGGGACAAACACCTAGAAACATGGGTTAAGGCCTCCGGCATCCTTGGTGGACCCAAGAACGTCTCTCCGACTGTCATTTCACCTAAGCAATACAAAAAGAGGTTCCGGAAGGCAATGACCACCTATTTTCTTATGGTTCCAGATCACTGGTCACCTCATACAATTACTCCCAACAGGTCGCAGAATGATTTACAGAACATGCAAAGTGGAAAATCTGCTGAATGATTTGTATATCTTGCTTGTATATCCTAAGGTCATATATTTCTTCCCATTTTTTCATTTCTTTTGATATATGCAGTTCCAGGGGTATTCTCCTTAATGAAGGAACACATGATTACTTGTTAGAAGACGTCGAAGGATGGTTATAGACTTATAGTTCTAGTGGCAGGTTTCTCCTGCATAGAAAATTAGGTTTACCTTAAAGGTAATTCTTTTGTACATCTTTTCTTTTTTATTATGATTGTTTCCTTGTGTAGAAACCAAGTTGTACATGACTTACAAAGGATCAACAGCAATTTTTGGTCAAAGCGTGATCTTGTTAAGTTTATGCTGCTGAAGTCTGTACATGATTTTGTTATTAAATTTTGACAGATATTTTTCCCCCTCTTTTCCTGCTGATAGAATTGGTGTGTATGCTCATTGTATTCCTTTTGATTTGTGTACAAGCGGGAAAAATAAGGAAATAGAGGTAACTGTAATAAGTTTCTGATATTGTGTTACTGTCAAAATCAGAGAACATCTATTTAGTTAGTTGTTGAAGGCTTGAAGCACATCCCATCTGGTGACCAATTCCTCTGTATGATCTATTTCGTTGTCATTTTTTAAATTCTATCCCCGTTAGCAAATTGGAAACAGCCTCTTGCAAAGATGCAGGGCAAGGCTGCGCAATAGACCCTAGGGTCCGGCCCTTTCTGGACCTCACGCATTGCGGGAGCGTAGTACACCGGATTGCCCCGTTAGCACATTCCCTATTTTATGTTAAAGACAACATGTAGATTGAAGCTTGATGTATTTTCAGAAGAAACTGAGTTGTAAACAAGTAGCCAGTGGGAGCCCTCTTAACAAAAAAAGATCAAACATTTTAAAGAGAAATGTAATTTTTAGCCGCTCAAAAAAAAAAATAGCAGATAAAATATATATTTTTTGTATATATGTGTATCATATACATATAATATATATATATATATATATATACATTTTTTGGCTAGCGAATGTAAACTATTGTTAGTTGATCGGCCAAGTTTGTATTTTGCCGATATTAGAAAGGGGTAATTGAAAGCAAAAACATCTGGTGGAAAGTGCAAAATGAATTGTCATACGTAAAATGTACACTTCTTAATTTACATCTGCACCAGGAAAAGGCAAGTCCTTGTTCCTTTTCTTCTTGTCAAAATATACTATTCATAGAGGGGAATGAATACATAAGATGTACATAAACAGACTATTCTTGTTCTGTTTCTTGTGTTATTTGTTAGAAGTGTCAAAGTGCTGATAATCATAAGATTGTATTGAGAAATGCACAAAAATCTGTTTATTCAGCAGCAGCAGCAATATGAAGCCAACATTTTTGGAGGAGCTCTATAATCTCTTCATCTCTGCATATTAATTCACACATATCACTATGAATCTCAAAATGAAATTATATATTTATTAGTACTAATCAATAGACTAATATTGTGTCCCTTCGGCACATCCGATAAAATTGGAATAATACAGAGAGGATTAGCATGACCCGGCCTTATGCAAAAATGGCATGCACAAATCGAGAAATGATTCAATAGACTAATATTGTTACAAACCTTGATTTATAAGAAGACTTTGGCACTTGCTGGCAAAATCGAGGTCCTTCATCATATCCTTCACATGTGATCTCTCCATTCTCATCTTTATAACAAATTACACCAGTTGACTTATCTTCAAATACCTATTAATATCATAACAAATTTAAGGAAAATTAGAATACATGGTATGTTGCTGACATGTGACCAGGAGGTCCGATTTCAAGCCGTGGAAATAACTTCTTGTAGAAATACATGGTAAGATTGCGTACAATAGACTCATGATCCAACTTTTCCCTGAACCTTTTATTTATTTATTTATAGAATACAGGGTACTGCTTCTGGTGTGAACATTACTTACGTAGTTAAATCAATACGTTCTAAGAACAAAATAAATGATATAATCGTTATCTCGACCAATTGATATGACTTTAAGCAGATTAAAAAATCAGAAGACAATACCACAAGCCTGTTTCTTGAAGTTGATCCAATCTGAAGCGGACTAGTTGTTGTTGTTGTTGCGGAGACATGGATTGAGATATTGTGACAACTTGCACGCACCTCGACTCTGTGGGCAGAGAGACTTGTTCTTGCAGTGGAAGATGATTTGTTAATTAGAATAGGTGCTGAAAGAGAGTATGTTACAGCCATTGATCCTAATGAAGAAAAAAAAGGGAGGAAAAATTGTAAATGGAGTGCTAGTTTTTGCTTTGCAGTATTGCTGTGGGACTTTAAAAGTGCCACATGCCAATAAGAAATTATACACATTTGTCCGTTGTTTAAAGTAGGAGTCAGTTCTGTCCCTGTCGTGCATAAGTTGGGGCACATATACCATATATTTAACAGAATTCCTCAACCCACATATTAACCTCACTAATATATTACTTAGCACCGGATTGTAATGCGTGTCATCCATGAGGAATTCTATTAAATATATAGCATATGTGACCCAATTTATTCACGTCAAGGACAGAACTGAGTCCACCTTTAAACGACGAGCAAATATGTACTATTTCATTTACTGACATATCTGACCATTTTCTGTATTATCTAACCAGGTTTTTGTTGGGTCTTTGTAAGCTAAAATGGATGATATATAATAGGAAACTATCAAACCAATAAGGGATGTTATTTCACGACGTGTTATTTTGTAAATACTCCTATATTCATAATGCATAGTGAGTTTCAAGTTGGAAAAAAATGGAAGGTTATAGTACGTTGATTATCAATATAAAAAAAGATTAAACTATAATAAATACTTCTAATAATGGCGAAAGAATATAGATGAATTAAATATGAGATTAAAATATAGTTAATTGATTGATTGATTGAGGTTAGAGGTACGTGGGGGTGAGTCCTTGCGGCGTGTAACTTAGCTTTGTGATTATAAAATCATGTAATTAAAAATAACATAAAAATTTAAAGGTAAATTTATTTTTAAATAATGGATATTGTCTCCATTATTTTACGGAACAAATTTGAAAAAAGAAGAGTGACAAAATGAAAGAGAATGAGTAACTTTTGGTGGTGGTGCGGACTCCGTCATGTCTGTCGGTAGATAACATATTTTGTACTTAGTTTATTTTGTTCTTAGCTTGTAAGATGATCATTGGTTAGAATACTAGGTACGAAGAATCAACGTATCTTTTTCTTAAGAGGTTAATAATGGACCACATAACAACTCCTTAATTAATTAAATGTCGCCCTAGAATGAATTGACTTATACAGTATTCTATTCTTGTCGAGGCACAATTACGACACCTGTATAGCTCCGAGAAGAAATGGAACAGTGTATAGGATAAAATATGTTCATATTAAATGCTTGCATAATAGAACGACACGTATAGCCGAAGATAGATGGAAAGCGAGGCAGGTGAAAATCAAGTCCGGGGACAGCAATCTCGGTTGTCCCCGAAGGAAATGTTGCTCATAAAGACAAATAAATGTCTGCCACCCGGTAATATTCAATGGAGAATATTCTATAGCATTAAATACATAATCCGTTACCTAGAATATGACGTTTGCGGTTACACATTCTTCAATGCCCCCCATAATTGTCATTTAAGAGGGGCTTGATCCTAGGGCCTTGTTTCATAGGTGCAACTATAAATAACGAGTTCAACAACCATTGTAAGGGATGAATTTTCTGACAAACTTATGCTATATACTGTTCAAAAGCACAATAACATTTTGTTTCTTGCTTATTAATATTGCGACTATTGCTTTTGGAAGCTTTGCTCCCGGAACCAAGTTATATGATGTCTTATCTCGATTTCAACGCTAAGTCTTGCATTCTTATTTAATTTATTTATTATTTTGGGATCAAATCAATTCGCTTGTCTATGAACCACGTATAAATTCAACTGTACCATTTTACGAGCAAACAGTTTGGAGCCCACCGTGGGGCTTAGACAATTGCATAATTGAGTTGATCCTTGCATCTCTTACTAACTTGTTTGAATCTTTGTTTCTTAGCAAAAAATCATAAAAACAAAGGCAGATAACGATGTCAACGTCGCACACAACGTTGAGGCCCAAGGAAATTAGACTCAGCACGGAGATTCGATTAGTGATACCCGCAACGAGGGGGATGAGGCCACACCGGTCCATGGCGGGCAATATCCAAGACAGGTTCGGGAGGCAACTCCTGATGATGGTGAAGACGAGCACGTCGTGGAAACATCGAGAATCCCGAGGGAGCAACAAAAGGTTATTATGGGTCATCTCTCACGATAAGATCAGGTCATGACGGAGTTGAGGCAGGCATTGCCGGGTACTTCCAACAATGCGAATGGACGAGGCCCAATTCCTCCGGGTGCTCCCGCAAACCAAACAACACAAAGGGCTGATAACAACACCTCGAGAGGCGAGGTCTGCTTCGACAGGGCCGGGGGAAATTGTAGCGGATCCGGTAACAACAATGAGAATGATCCCTTCAAAACTGAACTCATGTGGTTTATGAGGGAAATAAACGCCCGAATGGACCAAATCCGGGCGCACCACCGGTATTGAAAGGACCGGATTCAAAGAAATACACTCAGTTGCCGTTCAAACCAAGCACGGTTTCGGAGTTGATCGCGGAGCGGTTCAAGATGCCAGACGTGCCAAAATATGATGGGACTTAGTATCCTTAGGAGCACATCACCACCTTTACAATGGCGGTAAAAGGAAACAACTTAGCTTCGCATGAGATTGAGTCAGTCTTACTGAAGAAATTCGGGGAGACCCTCACGAAAGGGGCCTTGACATGGTATTCGCTTTTATCCGAGCACTCAATAGATTCCTTCAAGATGCTCACAGACTCTTTTATGAAGGCCTATGCCGAGGCCAAGAAGGTACAGGCCCGAAAGGCCGACATATTCAGGATTGCATAAAGAGGGTCTGAGTTCGTGACCAGATTTCAGAAGGAAAGGATGCTGCTACCGGCCGATGAATGGGCAGGTGAGACATTTATTAAAGGTCTGAATCCGAGGAGTTCCGACGCTTCCCGAAAAACTGAAAGAAAGTCTGCTCGAGTTCCAAGCAACAACGTGGGCAGATGTACACAACTGCTACGAGTCGAAGATAAGAGTTGAGGATGACCAGTTCGGTTTCCCGACATCAACCAAGGGTCGGGACCAGGAGAAGAATAAGGAAAAATCGAGGGATGATTTCGACGCAGACCGATGGTCTTCTGGGGGTCAATTTTTGCCCTATGAAAGGGCCTAAGGACGCGGCAGATGTTTTCGGTTGGCGGATAGATTTGCTACCGATAGGAGAGTTGATCGCGGCCGGAATAACAGATCATTGCAGGACAAAGAGGTACCGGGCTCTCGAGACTCTGCTTACCCCAGATTATCTGAATATAACTTCAACGTCATCATGGTGGAACTAGTGTCGGTCATGGGGAACATTAAGGAAGCACGGTTCCTGAGGACGATGAGATCTGATCCCAGTCAGAGGGATCCTAATTTATGGTGCGAGTACCATGGGACTAATGGCCACCGAGCTGGGGACTGCCGACATTTGCGTGAGGAGGTGGAGACATTACTGAAAAATAGTCATCTTAGAGAGTTCTTAAGTGACCGGGCCAAAAACAACTACGTTCATAACCGGGATAATGCGGAATCCTCGAAAGCAGGAAAAGACCCCCGTCGTCCGATGATCAACATGATTTTCAGGGGGAAATAGATTAATGGTGTAACTTTCTCGATAGCAAAAAAAAGACGAAGGTATCGGTGACCCATAGCAAGAGACTCCGGGAAGTCATTGAGGACGATAATCACTTTCACAGAGGAGGACGCATATGGACTCCTACTACCACACAACGATGCCTTGGTAATCTCTCTTAATATTTTGGATTTTAAGATTAAACGTGTTTTGGTGGACCGAGGGAGTTCAGCCAATATTATCCAATGGAGAGTGCTGGAACAAGCCAAGCTAAGCGGAAGCATTATTCAGACCACAAAGATCCTCGTTGGGTTCAATTTGGCAAGCGCAACAACCCGAAGGGAAATTTTATTGCCCATGAATGCCGAGAGGGTAATGAGGACGACCCTTTTCGAAGTAGTTGACGACGATATGGGTTACAACTTACAATATTATTCTTGGAAGACCATGGCTGCACAGGATGAAGGTTGTGCCGTCAACATACCATAAACTTCTGAAATTCCCAACCTCGGAGGGAATTAAATAGATAAGAGAAGATCAACCGGAAGCAAGGGACATGAATGTGATCTAAGTTTTCAGTAGCAAAGGGAAGGAGCGTACAACATAGCAATTACAGGAACTGTCACGACCTATTTTTTTGAATAAGCTGTGCCAGCACCCGATCACTAAATTTGACTAAGCGAACCATATGTGCTTATCAAATCTATTATAACTCCAAAATTTATATGCAAAAAGAAAATATTTTTAATTAATTTAAATATCTAAAATAAACCAACTCCAAAATTTTATTCGTAGTAACTACTGAAATACTGCAAAGATATTATCAAAAGCATATGAATCTTAACCCACCGACTGTGTCTATGAAGCCTCCATTGATAAACTGATGCACCGCTCAGGACATGGGATGTCCTGGCCAGTTATCCAAGTAAACAAAGAAATAACTAAATAATGATGACTCAAAGGAGTACTCCATGAACAAAAAGGGAGCTCACCAATAGCACTAGAAATGAGGGAATTCCTAACCCGTAGCCTGCTCGCCTGCAAAACCAGTTCCTACGTTGTACCGCAGACCAACGCAAGTTCCCAAAAGAGAACATCAGTACCATCCATTGTACTCAGTGAGTCTCAATGACAGGGGACGAAACTTTAATAAAATATACATTACAAACAAAGATTCTAAATGCATGAAAAACATAAATCTTCTACCAACAATTCTAAAAATAATTACATAACAACAATTTATGAATATTCTAAAAGAAATTCTTTTCTTTTTTTGTCTTATCTAAAAAAAAATACTTCACTTTATGCTTCGGGAGTTCCAACTATCCTGACTTATTTCTGTCTTAGTCACCGTGTGATCGGAAGGGGTTTGATCCCAACCTGATCGAATAGGACCAATCCACGAGGTGCCACTTGCTTCATGGTTCTCAGCGCTCATTTGTCATACCTTAGCCTGGCTAGGCAAATTCTCAGCAACGAGACCCTTGGCTAGTGTGCTCCCTACTTTGGTACAAGTAGTTTCAGGAAGTCAACGCCTTGGTTAGGACCCTCGGCCTAGACGATGACCCCTTCTCAGAATAGAGGATACTCCCAAAAATCTTATCTTTTTAAAATTTCTTCTTTTGACTTTTCAAGTCTAAATCATGTTTGAAAGTGATCTATCAGTATTCATAATAATATTCTTGAGTGTATGCATAATATAAGCATGATATAAAATTACTCAAAGTATTTTTAAAAGTTCTATCTAACTCTTGAAACTTTAACATGTAGGATCATGTAATA